AGCGGAGCGAATCGCGAACTCAAAGCAAAAATACGAAAAAGTGAACTCGATAAAAGAGAAACGTCAAAAAACCCTCGATTTCGCTCACCGTGCGTGCTTGCCTACCCCGCTGACTTCGCTACACTTCTTGCCTACAAGCTCGACACGCATGACCCAGGATGAAAAGTCATCGTGTAAATTGGCTCTTATGCAGCGTTTTTGCTGCATTTAAAATGCAACATTTAGCACTTTCGAACATATGTTTTCGAAGAGCGTTCATGCTATCTCATTTAGCAAATGTACATTTACGCGAGTTCGAAATCGAATGCTTTTGACAAACAACCGTGTTCCAGTCGCTTATTCAGATCCGTATCTATTACTATCAATTCACACACAGAAGATAATGTGCTAAAAATCCTACTGAAAAGGAAATAATAAATTTTAAACCAAAAATTCAATACAAAACTTGACTTGTTTTAATCATAACCGAACATTTCTTTGTGTATATATTCATTTGTCGGTGCTGTCAATTAAAATTTCCTCACCTAATTAGTAAACAAAACAAACAGAGTTGATCACAAATTGATCCAGATTTCTATCAGCATCACATCGATGTTGAGTTTTCTTAACTTTTCTTTATCCAAATAATGTAAAATAATAAATGAAATCTCGATTGGCGATCACTGAAACCCAACTAGCAACTGTATACTCGGAAAACTATGTTGCCACTTTTTATCCATGAACGAAAGACACAAGATCACGCGGGAAGGAAAGAACGAAAAAAGTTATTTTCTAGCTGCAGAAATCTCGACGCCATCTTTGTTGTAAGAAGTAAACAACGAAGAGAACGGAGAAAACCGCGAAATTGTTGAACGCATGAAAAATCATTTTTATTATGCAAATTCTTCTATAAATCATGCCGTTGTGTAACATTTTTCTTAACTTATGTGTACACACGTTGTCACAAGCGAAAATGAAGAAAATTGCAGTAAAAAGCCACCACCAAATTGTAAACAACGAAGAAATGTAAACAAAAGGCTAATGTCAAAATCGCTCAACTTTTTTCCTAAATGCGATTCTAACGGGCTAGTCTCCTGCCCGCGTGATCTTGTCTTTTTGGTTCATGCTTTTTATCATTAAACCATGTTCGAATCGTGGAAATTTTGGAAGGTCACAGGGTTGCTTTTAGCATTTAGAATCTAAGGGCCTGTGCCAATTGATAGAAAAGTTCTCTGGATAGTAAATTTTTGACAGCTATGAGGTGAATAAAAATGTTTGATACGGCAGGGCTAGTGAAAAATTTGACAGCAAGCATTATCAAGAAGAAGAACGAACAACGCACGTATACACATAAATTAAAGAAAACAAAAGCGAGTGGAAATAAAAGAACATGGTCCCGCCGGCAAAAAAAATAAAGAAAAGCTATATAACTTGTAAGATTTAATTTCAGATTTACTTATGAAAAGGCGTTATGTATTTTTTTAATTAACCCTCTCAGACGCGATGTCCCTTATAAGGGACTGCAATATTTGCATAGTTTAGCTTCACTTTATTAAACCCCTGTTTAAAAATATTGACACCGGGCATCATTTTCAAATCAAAAGGTTTATTAGCTTTAGATAAGTGTCCATTGAAGTAATTTTCTGGCTAAATCCGCAGTGCGCAGGTGGATTTCGTGAGTGACTGTTCATAATAAAAAATTTGTGCTAATAAAGTGTTCCTTAAAAGTGGATTTCGTGAGTAAAAGTTTCTGAAAAAATTAGTAAGTATTCCTGGTATGTTTATTTATTTATTTGTTTACAAAAAAAGTGAAATGAAAGCGCCAGCTACGTCTCCGTGAGCAAAAAGTAGCTGTCCCTTAAAAGGGACAAGATTACTCAACGGAGACTTTTTTCACTTTGTAAACGTTCGTTATAAGATTTTTGCGCGTCTGGTTTCGTTTTTTCAGAAATGGCTTCACGACGTCAACTTAATGAAGAGGAAATTCTGGAAGCTTTGGAAAGAGATTCCGATATAGAAGAAGATTATGAAAATGATGCCGAGGATGCGGTTGAGTGTGTGGTTGAAAAGATACGCCCTGCAGAGTCGATAGTTATAGCCCGTAATGACACAGGAGTCGAAAACGCGACAGAAGTTGAGGACGATATTGAAGATATCGAAGATTTTGAAGAATTGGAGCTGCCGGAAATTTCTGAGGAAGCGATTGCTGGTGTGGCTGCCGAATGGCTGAATTCTAGCGATATTTTGCGAGAAAATGCAATTTCTCCTGAAGAAACTCCAGTCATTCAATGCACAAAAAAGAAAGAGATAAAGTGGAAGACCAGGATGGCACGTACATTCAAATCAGATAAGATACAGTTTACAGCACCGCCAGCGGATGGAAACACTACAGAAAGGACACCGTATTCCTTCTTCGTAAAATATTTGGATGACGAGTTTTTTGTGAAAGCAGCATATTATACAAATATATATGCTACTCAGAAAGGTTGGTATTTTCATTTTAATTTACCTATTGATACCAAGGTTCTGTTTTTAAAATTTTAGGAGACTTAAATTTTAAACCATGCACCGCTGATGAAATTCGTGTACTTATAGCTCAACATATTATGATGAGCTGCTTCAAGCTGCCACGCGTTCGAATGTACTATGATCGCCGTTGGAACTTGACGTTTTTTTCAAATAGCATGACGTCTAACCGGTTCTTTTCCTTGAGAAACCGTCTACATTTAACTGACATTTCTGCTCGTCCAAGTGGTTGTAAGGATCGCTTATTCAAAGTTCGTCCCATAATTGAGCAAGTTCGCCATAGGCTGCAGGAATTACCATTAGAAGAGAATCTTTGTGTGGATGAGCAAATCATTCCATTCAAGGGAAAATTCATGGCAAAGCAATATATCAAAGGAAAGCCTTGTCCATGGGGAATCAAAGTATACTTTTTATGTGGAAAAAGTGGCATGCCCTACGATTTTATTGTTTACCAGGGTTCCACTACACCTCTAGATGACATTGTAGTCAAGACTGTTGGAAGCGGTTCAGCGATTGTAATTGAATTAGCAAAACGAATCCCCATAGAAGCAAAAGGATATAAAATGTATTTTGACAATTTCTTCCCTTCTTTTCAATTATTTGAAATTCTTTATGACAGAGGTATCTATGCAGCTGGAACTGTTCGTTCCAATCGCTTTGCAAATCCACCCTTGCCCGACAAGAATGTAATGTCCAAACGTGGTCGAGGATCAGCAGTTCAATGCATTAGTGAGAATGAAAAAGTCATATTTATTAGATGGTATGACAACAAAGTGGTAAACTTGGCTTCAAACTTCGTGGGAATTGGTACAGCGGACAAAGCTCGACGGTGGGATAAGGACTCACAAGGTTATATTGAAGTGTTTCGTCCTGAAGTAGTACGACTTTATAACGAAAGCATGGGTGGTGTAGACTTATTGGATCAAATGATCCAATATTACCGAATAAATATACGCACCAAAAAATGGACTATTCGTATTATTATGCACTTTATAGACCTAGCAATAACTGCATCATGGATGGAATACCGCAAGCACTGTCAGGAGAATAAGATAACTAAGATTTTGGACTCACTGAACTTTCGTGCTGAAGTTGCTAATTGTATGTTAAATGTAAAAACATCTAATTTACAATCGGACATAGAAACTACACGTCGCCGAGGAAGGCCATCGCGAATGGTGGCTTCACTTTCGCTACAATCTACTCCTAAATCGCACGTCCAAAACTTGCCGGAATCACCAAATCTTTCTTGTTGCAGTTCCCAGGCTCCTAACGATTCAAATACAGAAAATACGTCCACCCCACCGCAAAAACGTAAGAGAACGGTTCAAATTCATCCCCCAGAGGAAGTGCGTAAGGACACTGTAATGCACATTCCACATTTTGTTGCATCGAAAAATAATGGGCGTTGTAAAATGCCTGGATGTACGAAAAAATCGTATATTATATGCCAGAAATGCAACGTTTACTTGTGCGTGAAACGCGATAGTAACTGCTTTGCCTTATATCACGAAAAGTAAAAGTTATTTATAAAATATATTTTTAACAATTTTTTCAAATGTATGTATATGTAAAATATATTTATATGTTTTTGCATAACTAAACTAATGTATGTATTAAAAGTGAAACTCAAATTAATATTTTTCAATTAAAAAAAATTAGTTTAAATAGCGAAAATCATTTACTTAATTTTGAGTACAGCCAGTTGCAGGCATAATATTATAATACACAGAGTCACGATGTCCCATATAGGGGACATGCAATAACATCCAATTGAAACGCTTTACCTGAAATTTTATTTCATAATTATACTAAGCGATGTCAAATAAGTACACACACCAATTTTCAGATTTTTATCTTAAGCGTGTGATTTTCGCGACTGAGAGGGTTAAAAATACTATTTTACAGGGAGCAGTTCAGAACGCAGAATCCTTCTGGAAAAGCGCATTGACAAGGATGTTTGGTTCAGTTCAAAGAACGCCAACGGCAACGAAGGCTGGAAGTGAGTAAGAACAATATAAATAATTTGAAGACTTTATTAAGCAAATGACTTCGTACTCCACTGACCATCCGTGGCGCTTTTTGGGAATGTGAGTTACAATTTTTCGAAACGAAGCAGAGGACAACCTAAGATACATTTTTGTAGTCTTGTTATCGCCGTTCATAATGCTGCTTAGTATTTTGGAATAAACGTCTTGTGCATGTACATAATACCCTAAAACGACATATGTTTTTATTGGAAACAATTGTACACTGTTTTAAACATTTTTGTGAACACACTTACCAGACGGTTTTGACGTCTTTTTATTTCTAATATTACTGCTAAAAGGTCTAATAAATGCATAGATTTCAGTTCCAGAAGAATTGAAATCATCAAAGGCAAATATTTTCTATATAATTGCTGCATTTTATAAATAGCAAACACGATAGTCTTCTTGTGCATCAAAGCAACTGTCAAAAATTTCCAGCAGTAAAAAGTTACGAATTGGCACAGCAGAAATGTAAAATTTTCTCACCATAGTAAAAAGTTTTTCCACCATAGAACTTTTCTATCAATTGGCACAGGCCCTTAATGCAAAAATAGAGTTGCATTTAGTTGCATTTATGTGACGAATTTTGTATGAATAAATGTACATTTAGGCCCTGTGCCAATTGATAGAAAATAGAAAATTTTGACGGATCAAAGTAAAAATTTGACACTTCTCGTGGTGAATACGAACGTCAAAATTTTACCTAGCTCACGGGGCTAGGTAAAATTTTGACAGCTTATAACCATGTATACACATAATATTGCTTGGCGGTAATAAGGAGTGAACATGAAAATGAAAGCTAAAACAGCATAAAAAAAGCGTACGTTACTTGCAAATTATAAAATAAATATAAATTTTAAGAATTTCAGCAACACACAAAAATAAAGCTTTCGCACTAGCGTTTGTTTGGTTTTTCAACTGTCAACATTTTACTCTGCATTTGGCACAGCAAAATTCAATTTATTTGTACACCATAGCAAATTTTTCCACCCCGTCTCACCACGGAGAAAAAGTTACCGATTGGCATAGGCCCTTAGAGTAGCATTTAGTGCTAAATGCGCTAAATGTGCTTTTACGCGTAAGCAAAAATAGCCCATTAGTACCGATTGAAAAGGTAATGATGTTAAAATAAAGCAAATTAATCTATATTCAAGTTGATATAATTAGCGCGTTCTAGAACGTCTACGATTTGGCTGTTTTACAGGATTTAGTCCAAAGTCGTTCCCGTACGCCACGTTCACATAAGGTTTATTAAAGGCTAAAACCTGGAAATCTTGCAAAACGTGATGTACGGGAACAGGCTAAATGTGTAATGATGTGTATGTTTGTTTATATCTTTAAGCCGTAAATAATAAAACAGAAATAAAATTTTAAGATTTTTTCATAAAATAGACCGAAGGCCGCCTACGCAGAAAGATGTTCTCTGCAAAAGGTTTTCAGCCCCCCTTCTTCGGCAATACAGAGAGGAGAATTCTAATTAGTGAGGGTTATAATCCCTAAGCCCGGGCGAAGGCCGCCTACGCTGAAAGAACTTCTGGGCAATAGAAACTATGATATCAGCTCACATTTGCCACTTACTTGTAAATGCTTTTAATCTTTTTTATCACTGAATTCTTAAACCTCAAAAGCAGATCGTAATAAAATATGTATATCAAATAAAAGGTAAGAACTCGCACTTTCTAAATAATACACATTTCTTTAGCAATGATTATACACTTTTTTCTAAAAAAGGTTACTTTATGACAAAATTTTAAAATTTTATTTCTGTTTTATTATTTTTGGCTCAAAGATATAATCAAGCATACACATCATTACACATTACATGAACTTGAAGATAGATTAATTTGCTTTATTTTGACATCATTACTTTTTCAATCGGTTACGTAATTTAGAAAATATTAATATTTTAAAATATCGAAAAAAATTCCCCTCTTATATCTTCTTTACTTTTCAATTGCGCCAAATACTATTTATATAGTTGAAATCAGCGTAAAAAGTACTATCGGTCTGCATTTTTTGTTTGTGGGCTTTAGATTGGTAACTCCGGAGTACAGCATTGAGGAAAATATGGGAGGTAGAGGGCGGTCTAATAGTTCCCTGTATGAAGTTTCAAAGCGCGCAACCTTTTATACTATGTCTCCACTGAGAGATTTATCCATTAAGATTTAATAAATCCAGTTGCTAAATCACAACCGTCTCCATTACCACAACGAGATATGTTTGACGTTCATATTTTTAAATATTTGACGTTTGCTTATGTATGATTTTATAAATACAGTTGCGGACATTGATCTACAGACAGATAAAAGGAAGGTACCAAGCGGAATTTCATTATATGAATTCTGAATATTTTTGGCTTCTTATTCGTGGTAAATATCTATGTATAATATATAGTTTGGAAAGTGTAAAGAATGGTACCATATTCCGAATCATTTTCCCGAATTTAAGAAAAATTATCAAAACGGTAAAAAACATTTGCGGAAAGAAAAATTTTTGTAGAACTATCTTATTCATAGGAGGGAACCGAAAATCCAATCGTGGGCCTTCGGCATATCATGAATACGAACTGAGCTCTAGAGGATGTTCGGTGCAATGTTATCGAAGCAGAACCATTACCGAAATTTATAAATTTTGATATGATATTACTATAAAACAAATTTTTAGTTTTTAAAATAATATTTTCTTAATTTATTACAACCAAAGTTATGTAAATATGTATTACTAATTTTCCTCCCAAACTAACAAAAATATAAAAATCCCTAAAAATACGAAAATTCATGTTTTTATGATAGGCTAGATTTCAATGTCCTCAACTGTATATTGAAAACACAAATGTCATTTGACTTATGGCATATGAATTTGTGGTTGCCACATCCAACAAATTGTACTTATTGATCAATGTTATTGAAGATTTGACGAAGATTTAACTTAAATCTACTGCCTTTCGAGATTTAATTTTATATGGTAAATCTCAAAAGATTTAACGTCAAATCTCGTCAGAGAGCTAAATCTTCATTAAATCTCACAATGGAGACATAGTATTATACTTTTTAAGGAATTTGTTATAAAGTTTGTAATTTTAACCAACTTGTATGGCACTATTTTACAATATATAATGCACTTTCCACTAAATTTGCAGGTTATTTACACTCAATATATGCGCAGTTAGAGTGTGCACGTTCAAACAAATGAATACTCTTAGTATATTACAGCTTTTTTTATCAAAAATTGATTGTTGTTTAATTTTATGAGAGTACATCCAGAATATGTGCAAATGACAGCAGGACAGTGTTGCCATATCTAAAAAAACGAGTGGAAAGCAAGACCAAAAGAAAATACTGTGGCGAAAACTGCGGCAACACAAGGCGAACAACGAGAAATAGGCAGAATGTTCGAAGAATGACGTAGAATGTTCCACAAAGAGAAACGTCAAGTTGGATGAACACTGCGAACAGCGAGAGAAAGAGAATGAGCGATAAACTTCAGAATGTTCTAGAGTTGCCATAAGTGCCAGCGCAGGTATATAAGGGCGCCGCCACCGCGAGGTGAGTTAGTTACGAGTTACAAGTCAGCAAGCTACAAGTAAAGTGAGCGGAGAATTGAGTTGCGAATAAGCAAGCTATAAGTTTAATTGTGTTAACAAGTAGTAAAGCGTTGTTATTGCTTTAACAAGTATTGTAAAGTGTTTTTACTGTATTAGCAAGTATTGTAAATTGTTTGTTGTACAATAAAGTTAATTGTACTACAATTTGGTCATCGTTAGCATTTATTTAACAATCCAGCGATACGAACCAAGAGATTTGGGAAATCCGGACGAGGTTTCCATGAACCAAAAAGACAAGATCACGTAAGAACGCGACGTTGTATTTGTAACCGGTTTTGAGAAAAAAATAGCAAAAAAGCGGATTCGTCAGCTGTTCTTTGTTTACAGTTGTTTGTTTACATTTTGCGACTGGTTCATATTGTACAAAGCGGTTTATTTTCGAATGTGTTTAAACTTTTTTAAAAATTGTGAGTGAAAATTATTATAAAATGAAGTGTGCCGTATTAGGATGCGAAAACGAGTTCTATAATGACCGTTCTATAAGTTTTCACCGTCTCCCAAGAGATGAAAACTTGCGCAAGCAGTGGATGGACTTTTGCGGGCGCCAGGTAGACCCAACTGCAAGAGTATGTAGTGAACACTTTCCGCCGGAAGATTTTGCAAACGCTTTGAAAGTTGACATGGGTAAATATCATAATTTTCTTACCCATATATGTGTACATGAAACTTTGATTGGACTGAACTATGTACTAGGATTGGTGAAATATCGTATGCTCAAAAAGGGGGTAGTCCCGACAGTGGGTAAGAAACGGTACCCCAATTCAGGCATTAGTTACCTGTTGGAGGCTGCCAAATTGCTTGAAGAGGCAGAGAACCCTCACAAAATGAAGAAGAATGCCCTCAGCATAAGTGATTTGTTGGAAGCTGCACGGATAATTGACGCCGA